CCCCATGACATCGAGCTCCCTGCTCAGTGGGGAATTTGCTTCTCACTCTCTCTCTGCACCCACTCTGACTCGCTCATTCTCTTCCCCCTCTCCATCAAATAAATAAATTAAAAAACAAAAAAACTGGAGCTATCAGAATCCCAGATTTCAAGATATACTACAAACTGTAGTAAGAAGAACAGTATGGTACTAGCACAAAAATGGACACACAGATCAACAGAACAGAATAAAGAGCCCAGAAATAAACCCACGATCATTTGGTCAATTAATCTTTGGCAAAGGAGGCAAGAATGCACAATGGAAAAAAGACAGTCTATTCAACAAATGGTGTTGGGAAAACTGGACAGTTACATGTAAAAGAATTAAAATGGATCATGTTCTTACACCATACAGAAAAACAAACTCAAAATGGATTCAAGACCTAAATAGGAAACCTGAAACCATAAAAAATCCTAGAAGAGAGCACAGACAGTAATTTCTCTGACATTGGCCATAGCAACATTCTCCTAGATATATTTCCTCAGGCAAGGGAAACAAAAGCAATGATAAATTATTAGGACTACATTAAAATAAAACAATTCTTCATAGCAAAGGAAATAATAAAACAAAAGACAATCTGTGCAATGGGAGAAGATATTTGCAAATTACATATCCATAAAGAATTACATTCCAAATTACATAAAGAATTTATATAACTCAACACCGAAAAAAAAAAAAAGGCAAATAATCCAATTTAAAATGGCCAGAAGACATGAACAGTCCTTTTCCAAAGACATCCAGCTGGCCAGGAGACACATGAAAAGATGCTCAACGTCTCTCATCATCAGGGAAATGCAAATCGAAACCACAATGAGATATCTCCTCAAACCTGTTAGAACGGCTAAAATCAACAACGTAAGAAACAACAACAGAAGGCAAAGATGTGGAGAAAAAGGAACCTCATGCACTGTTGGTAGGAATGCAAACTTGTGCAGCCACTGTGGAAAACAGTATGGAGGTTTCCTCAAAAAGTTAAAAATAGAATTACCAAATGCCAGGGTGGCTCAGTCAGTTAAGCGCCTGCCTTCAGCTTGGATCATGATCCCAGGGTTCTGGGATCAAGTCCCGCATTGGGCTCCCTGGTCAGCAGGGAGCCTGCTTCTCCCTCTGCCTGCCGCTCTGCTTGCTTGTGCTCTCTCTCTCTGACAAATAAATAAAATAAAATCTTTTTTTAAAATTTAAAAAATAGAATTACCAAATGATCTAGTAACTACATAATGGATACTTACCTAAAGAAAATGAAAACACTAAATCAAAAAGATATATGCCCCCCTCTGTTTACTGCAGCATTATTTACAATAGCCAAGATATGGAAGCAGTCCAAGTATCCATCCACAGAAGAATGGACAAAGAAGACGGGGTGTATATATATACAATGGAATATCACTCAGCCATAAAAAGAATGAAATCTTGCCATTTGCAACAACATGTATGGAACTAGAGAGTATAATGCTAAGTGAAGTTAGACAAGGACATAATACCATATGATTTCACTCATATGTGATATACAAGAAAAAAACAAAGAAAGAAAGAAAAAGACAAACAAAAAAAAAGACTTTTAAATATAAAGGACAAATTGGTGGTTGCCAGAAGGAAGCTGGTAGGTGGATGGACAAAATAGGTGAAGGGGATTAAGAGTACATATATTGGGATGAGCAATGAATAATATATAAAATTGGTGAATCACTGTATTGTTCATTTGAAATTAATATAACACAGTCTCTTGGTGCGTGGGTGGTTCAGTGGGTTAAAGCCAATCCTAGCCTATGAAAATCCAGCAGAGGTTGCTGGAAGTTTCTGGTGGATGCACGCAGTCAAATCCAGACTATGCCAGTGTTCTAGTAACAGCTCTCTGAATTTTAGCTGCAAATGGAAAAATGCAAGTAATCTCTTCAGAGAGTTATAAGAGAACAAACTATCTCTTAAGCTGAACATGAACAAGGACACAAGCACCTATTGCTATGACAGCATCCTAAAATCCAACCATGAAAGAGGATACCATGCATAAAAACTAACACAAAGGAAGAAGGGTAGAGATAAGAGACTTACAAAGAATTTACAGAGACTCCAGAGACTTACAGAAAAACAGAGCCTCAGCTGTGCCCAACTACCTCCTGACTCTACTATAAATGAGTAATATTTATTAATATTACTCACTTAATAATATTAAAGAATTAAAGCCAGAATCAGGTTTCTTTACTTGTAGCCAAATCCCTAACAGACTGGTACTATCTTTATAATCAGAAAAATATATATATTTAAAATATCAATGAATAAGTGGGGAAAAAACAGGACATGCTCAATGAAAGCTTATCAGAGAGATACTAATGATCCCTTCTACAACTTTTGCTGGATACTGCTACATACACCTCCTTCTCATATTATGTGATATTTTTAATTAAAACTGAGTCTGTACTTTTCAGGAAATGATTGGATACTCTAATCACAAGAAAAGCATCATTAGGATCAGAAGCATAGGATGGAAAGGAGTGTAAGGGATGGCAGACTGCCAAGCCTCAGAGCCTTTCCCGCTCTCCATCCCCTACCCTAATCTTCTTTATCAATTTCCATCACAGTAATAAATTGAACAGTTCAAAAGTCATGGCAATATTCTCAACTTGGACAAGATGACCTCTTTACACAGGGAAAGTGTTTTACTGCACTCTATCGAAAGAACTATTTGTTATTGTCAATGTCAGAATTGTCTTAATCGTTTATCATCTATCTATACCATCTATCTATACCATCTATACAATCTATACCATCTATCTCCCTTCTCCCTTATTGCTGAGTTAGTCTTGGTGCAGATAGTTAGAGCTCTTAGTTGGCATTCAGTCCGCAAGTTCTCAAGAACTAAAGTAGGAGTACTAGGGGAGTTTTCTCACATTCCTTCCTGCGATAACATCAATGATGTGGGACTCTGGCCTACTCTCTCAAGTCTCTCTTTCTCCCTTTTCCTGCCTCCTCACTCAACCTAGACCCACACAAGTTTCTTTTTTCTATTTGTATACCCATGCTATTTAATGTGGTAACACACACACACACACCCACACACACACTCTCTCTCTCACACACACTCACAAAACCAATGAAGAAGAGTGCGATGCACACCCTTGGTCTTGAAAGTTACCGCTCGTCTATCATCCTGCAGGCTCAGCACCATCTCCCAACCCTGTTCTTCCTAGCCCCTGCACACAAGCCTCCAGCAAGTACCTCGTCTTCCACCTCCCACATCCTCTACAGGCAAGAACTGCTTCGAGATCCTTCCCTCCAGCAGCAAATGCATCTACGTTGCCAACCATCATGATATTTTTCCTTCTTAGGTTAGAGGAAGGAGCATAGCAACTCCTACATAATCAATACTAAAATGATAACAAAAATACCCACAATATATGATGTCTCTCAACCTACATAAAGTTTTATGCTCCATTTGTGCTCTAGATCACATTATTTCCTCTCCTTGGTCCATTAATCCTTCTCCTCTCCAGCTTCTCAATGATCACTTTACCCTCAAATTCAAAGCCCTCAGACTTCCACTTCTAGCCAAGATAATGAAACAATGAGATTTACCCTTCCATCTGAAACAACTTAAAAAAAAAAAAATATATATATATATATATATATATATAAGAAGCAATGACTTTCCAGACCCTGAACATTAGACAACAAAGGACAATGATGCCTGAAAGATGGAAAACATGGGTGATCCTTTGCTTACAGCCTTGAAAGCATTTCCAGGCTGCAGCATCAGGAGGGGATCCTGGGTAGAGCCTGGTCAACTACTCAAGTTGAAGAGACGTGGCCAAGTCTTAAAAGACCAAAGTGAATCCACAAGACAAAGTGGCAGAAGGAGAGATGCAGACAGAGAAAACTCAGGGGATCTGCAGAGGGTCCCTCTTGGGTACTCAGCAGAGCACTGGAGGGCCAAAGTGCATGAGGAAAACTATGGAGGCTGAAGGAAAGACCTGAAAGCATGAAAGACAACAGTAATCAGAGCTCTCAGAGGGCCAGAATGCTTGGGGACACAGACATTCCACCTATAGCAAAAGCCAATAAGCAGAGAAACACTGTAATTAAGATGGACGTGCAACCTGAGGAGCTTCACAAAGCCAACAAAAGTAAAAGAGCAGCATCATTTTATCTAAAATCACTCCATAAATTTCAGTGACTTATGAGTGGCAAAGACGGGGAGTGGGGCATACTAAGTGCCTTCCTAGTGCCAGGCACTGGAGAGGGGTCAGTAGGACACAGTCCTGCCCTTGTGTGCATTCTGTAGTCATCAGGACAGATTCATCAACCTCTCCTTTGAGTTTTCCTTCAGTTTTTGGCCAGCAGTCAGCTAAAAGGCCCCTCCTTGGGGCGCCTTGGTGGCTCAGTGGGTTAGAGCCTCTGCCTTTGGCTCAGGTCATGATCCCAGGGTCCTGGGAATGAACCCTGCATTGGGGGGGGGGGGGTCTCTGCTCAGCAGGGAGCCTGCTTCCCCATCCCCCACCCTCTGCCTGCCTCTCTGCCTACCTGTGATCTCTGTCAAGTAAACAAATTTTAAAAATAAATAAATAAATAAAATAAAAGGTCCCCTCCTTAAAAAAACCCTCTTTCAACCCCCTAACAACTATAGAGTAGTCTGCTTTCCTTTCTGGACTGTATTCTTCACAATTCCTAATAATCACTTATTATTACTATATGACTATGATTATTATTTTCTCCCACGCACATATAGAATATGAGCTCTCTAAGCGAAGAAATCACATCTGTCAACTTCACCACTGTACCTTCTGTGACCAGCACAGTATATAACCACTGAAGGTACTCAAACGCTTACTGAATAAATGAAAACAAGAGCTATAACCAGGATAAGTTTACTGATGACCAGCATTTCCTAGGCTAGTTAGCCCCAAATCCTTAGCTTTGGCTCCTTTAGTTATGAAGGAGCCTATGAAGTACTCATACCAAGTACTCACCTCTACCTGAGTAACATTGACGACCAGCACCACCACCATCAGCACTGCAAGCAGACAGCAGAAAAGCCGTAGTTTGAAGAAATTGAGCCACATTGTCTGTCTGTGTCTTGATCACCCATGGCCGACGCCATGCTACCTTCACTCCTTAAAACTCCATGTCTTCGTTCTTCTGATCTGCAGACGAGCTTTTAGTTGAATTTGTTTGTTTTCCGCTAGTATCATTAAGAGCTCTTTGTATGGAGGAGAGGCTAGGATTGACTTAAGAAGCACACTTTTCTTCAGAGGAGTCCTTCAAACAGGGAAGATGAGAATACAGATCACCAACTCCAACAGCCAAATGTGTGGTAAGAGGAAAGGTGCCACACTTCCTCTTCCTGAACCCTCTCAAAGGCCAAAGTCATGAGGGGAAAGCAAAGAGCCACAGCGCAGTTAGATCTGTTGTGCATTCAATTTGCTCAAACCCAACCCCAGAGTTCCATACAAATACAGTGATATTTGTCCTGCAAATTTTAGATTTTAACTTTGAAGAAGGCAAAGAAGAATGTCTTCAAACCCTTAGAATTAGAAAATTAAAGTCACTGTTAAATTTCTAGAGATCTAAGTAGATAAAATCACTCCCCTTCCCTTATAGCTCAAGTTACATAACACTCCTAAAGTGATTGTATTTGATGAGCATTAAAAGGAAACCTGCTGATTTTATGAGGAGTTCTGTGAGACTGTGCAAACCATCCCCATCTCCTCTAGAAAACAAGGAGTGCTGTCCCCCTGCACAGCAGAAGACATGAAACACCCTTTGGATGTCCAGCTCCTGAGGGAGGATGCTCCCTCAGTAGAGTAACAGGGCCCAGGAGGGAAGACACTTACCCTGAAGATAGAGGAAAGAAAAGCTAAGCCTGACGATTAAGAGGAGACCCAACTCCCTCATCATAACTGCTAGAGGCAGAGGACTTCAGAGCCTGCCACTCCTACCTGTTCTCACATAATGAATTCAAAATGCTCTCCCCAGTTTTTATTTTGGTATAAACAGAAAAAAATACTAGTGTTTTGTTTCTAGCTAGGCTCTCCATAGGGGGCAAGGTGGAGAAGTCATCGTGAAAGGGTGCATAACTATGGCGCAGAGGATCTGACTACTTCAACTGCACCAGCTCTTCCCGCAACGTTGTACTGGACCTGGCAAGCCGCCCTACTTCCCTCTCTCTTTCACTCCACCTGTCTAGTCCATTCCCATGCCACGAGGACCACAACTCCTCCTCATCTCTGCCTCATAAAGGAGACAGAACTAAGCTATTCTAACTTGCTCTCCATCCTCAGAAGTCCCACAGCACTTTCTTCTCACTTCTCAGCATTTTCACTCCTCTGTATTTGTATGTATTTCCTGTTCCTCCAACTAAACTATACCAATCATGATTTAAATAAAAAAAACAAAACAGAGGGGCACCTGGGTGGCTCAGTCGGTTGAGCGTCCGACTCATGATTTCAGTTCAGGTCATGATCTCAGGGTCGTGAGATCGAGTCCCACATCAGGCTCCGCACTTAGAGTAGAATCTGCTTCTCCCTCTCCCTCTGCTCCCCCTCCACAGCTCTCTGTCTCTATCTTCTCTCTCTCTCTCTCTCTCAAATAAATAAATATTTTAAAAATTAAAAATTAAAAATTAAAAAAAAAAAAACAACAGAAACCAGGGCACCTGTGTGGCTCAGCTGGTTAAGCATCAACTCTTGGCTTCAGCTCAGGTGGTGATCTCGGGATTGTGAGATCAAGCCCCAGTGCAGGGCTCTGTGATGAGCATGGAGTCGGCTTGTCCCTCTTCCTCTCCCTCTGCCCCTTCCCCCAGCGAGCTCTCTCTCTCAGATAAATAAAATCTTATAAAAACAAACAAACAAAAAAACAAAAAAGGGACAACTGGGTGGCTCAGTCACTTAAGTGACTGCCTTCGGCTCAGATCTTGATCCCAGGGTCCTGGGATTGAACCCTGTGTTGGGGCTCCCTGCTCAGTGGGGAGCCTGCTTCTCCTTCTCCCTCTGCTGCTCCCCCTATTTGTGCTCTCTGTCTGTCTCTTTCTCTCTGTCAAATAGATAAAATCTTAAAAACAAAACAAAAGAAAAAATACACAGAAACCACGCATCAGAGAAAAAGCAACTTAGTAATAACAATGTATCATATTTCTTGGATTCACCCACAGTACCTCCCCCTTACATGATATATATTGATGCAACAATCCACAGAACAAAAAATTATGGAAGCCTACTCTGCAGCACACACTGAACTAAGTGCCAGAAACTCCCATGGAAAAGCTTACACTTATATCAGACAAAAGGTATTTCCTCTCCTAAATTACGAATATTTATCCCTCTGCAGGCTCCCTGTACAGGGATACCAAGCACCGTGAAAGACTGCACTTAACCATTTGATGACCCCTCAACCCCACCCCTAACACCCAAGCACCCACTCATCCCAAAATGCCTGTAAATCCTGGGAAGGAATAACTATGAACCAAAAGAAATGACTCTGTCATCAGGGCCCAACTGCTCTTCTGTAGAAGAATAGTTGGCCATAAATATCATAGGCTTCCCTCATGCCCAGAGAGGGAGAAGACCAAAGACAATACTCCACGGAGATTCAGCAGCACCACAGTAAGCACTGTCTGTGTACTGCAGAAACACCAGCAGTTTCGAGAAGGTTAGTGTTATTCAGAGCCAGGTGGCAGCAGTGCAGCTGCGGTCAGGGGTGCAGAAGGATGGCAAGGGCAGCAGACTCCAGAACTACGGGGACCACAGGGACATAGGTAGCAAAGCAAATGTGCAAGAAACCCCTCATGGCCAAGGACTTCTACTGAAAGTTGTTACTGGAGGGGCATGCAAGACCTGACTTCTAGACCCATCTGTATATCTAAGTAGATGTGGTCTAAGGGGCACGTAGACCTCTCTTTGAAAAGACATATATGAAAATGTTCATAGTTGTTACCTCCGCACAGTTTTTTTTCTCCTTCATCTTTATCTTTGTGTCCTAAATTTTCACCAGGAAATAAAAATTACAAATAGAAAAAAGCAGGTTTCTAAAAGTAATAATTAACAACAAGCCATAAGGAGAAACACAGCATTAAACCAAATACAGAAAAACAATTCAATTTAAAATGAAAAATTTAGGGGCACCTGGGTGGCTCAGTGGATTAAGCGTCTGCCTTAGGCTCAGGTCATGATCTCAGGGTCCTGGGATCGAGCCCCACATCAGGCTCTCTGCTCAGTGGGGAGCCTGTTTCCCTCTCTCTCTGCCTGCCTCTCTGCCTACTTGTGATCTCTCTCTCTGTTAAATAAATAAAGAAAATCTATTACAAAATAAATAAATAAAATGAAAAATTTCAAAGTGAAAGAAGAAATCTCTAACCGTTCTCTACTGTCTTCCTACAAATACAAAACCTACGCATTATACCAAGAAAGTTATTTAAAAAGACGGCAGGACAATATCATTCAGTATCTCAAACTGCCTTAGAATTGAATAAAAACAAAAGTGCTTGACAGAATGACTCTAAGGAAAAGTTTCCTAGACCAGCCAAAAGTAAAAATTTATTACTGAATGTTATTTACCTTTTTTAAAAAAATTTCCAGTTCCCAAGAAGAGATTAGAGCTTACATCTAACTTTCCTTCCAGTGTAAAGTCCTGAATTCAAGCAATCATGACAACGCTTATTCTTTTCTTGCCACATTCAAAGCACGGGTTGATGTTTCCTCACTTTTATACCATTCTTCCTGCTGCAACAAGATTACACACATGATATCCAGGTTAAAGATACCAAAATTAAGGAAAACATTTGAAATCAAGAGTACAGTTTTATCCAGAGATGCACAGAGATTTCAGTATAACAAAGTAGGAGAAACATTTCCTTTACTACTAATAACAAAATAGTAACTGGCTATTTTTTTATATATATATATATGTATGTGTGTGTGTGTATGTGTATATATATATATGTATATATATATATATACATATATATATATACACAGACTTAAACATGGCAAGTTACTCCCAGATCTGAGCTGAAGGTCAAATTTTATAATTAGCAATATAACTGAAAAAATATAAATCAAAGATAAAAGCTCCATATGTTACTTTTCTTAAAGACTAGAATAATTATGTACTTCAACAACCCATCCTACCACTATAGAAAATAAGAGGTATCTAGACAGATCCAAAAGTATGATTAATTCAGGAGGAATTTAAATTTGAGCGGTCTTGTTTTCAAATCCTCCTAATGTGTCAGTCCAGTCCACCACTTAGTCATGCCTCATATTTATGTTTGAAGGACAAGCAAAAAGTAAAATGCATGGTCTATTGGGTCTCTTCTGCCAAAGATGATTAAGACTACTTACCAGCCAATCTAACTTCTTTATGGCCTGTCACAATAACCCTAGACTGCCCCTATGTACGTGACTTCCTACCCCATCTCATAAGAGAATTACAGAGTGATTGTTTACATCACTTGGAATTAAAACTGTTAGTAACATCAATGAGATAGTTGAGTTCAGTACTAAAAAGAAAATTGGGCAGCAAACCCCTCCCCTAGGGAATTAGACAACCATTTCACAAAGATAAGGTATTACAGGATAACTACACATCCAGTTTCTGGGACAGTCCCCATTCTATATACCCTGAACTGCTATCCACATAAATATAATTATACTTGTCAGACCAAGTGTATAGAATTTTAATTTAAAATACGTGGACCCCCTACACAGAAGACAAATCATAGATCAACATGGAATATACCCAAACTTAAATATTTCTATATCAGGGGCACCTGGGTGATTCAGTGAGTTAGGCATCCAATGCTTGATTTCAGCTCAGGTCATGATCTCAGGGTTGAGATCGAGATTCTTCCTTTCTCTCTCTCTCTCCCTCTCCATCTGCCCCTCCCCCCTCTAAAAATTTTATATATCAAACTTTCCAAATTGCAGCTGTATAACTCATAAACACAGAGAAAAAAACTGATGGTTGCCAGAGGGGAGGGAAGTGGGGGGGTGCAAAATAGATGAGGAGGATTAAGAGGTACAAACTTCCAGTTACCAAATAAATAAGTCATGGGGATGCAAATGTAATATAGAGAACATAGTGAATAATATGGTAATAATTCCATATGATGACAGACAATAACTACGCTGATTGTGGTGATCATTTCATAATGTATATAAATGTCAAACCACTATGGTGAGCACCTGAAACTAATATAATATTGTATGTTAACCATACTTCAGTAAATAAATAACAAAGAGCACCTATATTTCACAGGTTGCTGGGTAAGACCCTGAAACTTAACAGGCCTGGATCCAGAGAAAGAACTGGAGCCATATCCATGAATATGACAATGATGGGTCACCAATAAGGTCAACCCTTGACAAAGAGGAAGCACAGCAGAAGTCTGCAAGACTTGTTTCCCCTGATTCCATTTCTCTTTCATTTATCCCCACCTCACACACCCAAAGTGCTGACTCACCACCCAGGCCTTCCCCTGCCCTTCTTCCAAAGCAGCACCCCATGCTTTCATGGGTAGGGGGGGACAGTTGGAGAGGAGACTAAAAGTAATCAGTTAAATAAGTGACAGAGTAGTAAGTGCTGTAAGAAAAAAATAAGGCACATTGATAGGCTGTGTTCTTTAAACTCGTATGCACATTAATATCATTCTGTAAGCTTTTAACAATGCCAATGCTTACACCAGACTCAACTAACTGAATCGGAATCTGTAGGACCAGGGCCTAAGAAACAGGTTTTTTAAAAAAGGTCTCCAAATGACTACTATAATATACTGCCAAACAGGGGAACCGCTAGTATGAGGTGGTCAGAGGTGTTATTTCTATCAGCGGGTCAGGCCTTTCCAAAATGATCTCTTAATTGTAACTCACACTGTCCCCTCAGGACAATCCGATTCCGAGATAACAGGGACAGCCAACCTCACTTCAGTGATCTATTCCTTCGTTTCCCTTCTCAGTAACAAATAACAGCATTTTATCAGGCCAGAGACTGCGGAGAGAAGAGACGAAGTACCGGCAAAGGAAAGCAGAACCCAAACACCTTGGAGCGTGCTGCTACCTCCACTGCATGGAATCAGACAATTAATGATCAGAGTCTGGGAGTCCCGCCAGCTTCAAGCACACCCTGATGTTCCAAATGATAACCACACTGAGGAAGGGGAAGGGCCACTGAGCAGTGTAGTTCTTCATCTTTAGGAAACTGGCAGCAATCCTCCTTTAGAGTAAATAATGAAAAGAAAGGAAATTTTTACAGACAATTACACACGAAATTTGTATAAATTCTGAAAGAGAATGCCACTTACCACCACCCTAGTGGCCTTTCATCAAGCGGAGACGGGTGACAGGCCCAGGTTTCCACATCACACCTTGCAAAGTCACACGCTTCTCTCCCCATACGACCTGAATCTGATGTCCCAAAGCGTCAGCTCAATAATGCCAGAAGAGCCCAAAGTGTGAGAGCATCACCAGGCAAGTGGCAGCTGGGCCCGGGGCAGCAGTGAGACCGGAGAATGGGGCCGAGGAGGCAGAAGTCGCAAAGTGCCCCGAACCGGGTTAGGAAGAGGTCTTCAGCTGCTGCACCTGCCCGCGTTGCACCAAGTCCGGAAAACTGAGCACAGAGATGCTCGCGTCAGCCCCGCCCCTTCCCCGCGGGAGCCGCAGCGGCTCGGGCAACTCAGGTCCGAAGCTACGGCAGCCGGAGGCTCCAATTCTGTCCCCGCCGAGGACGGAAGCCTTCCCTTTCTGGCTCCAGAACCCCCAGCCGTGACCCCCGAGTCTGCAGCTCCTCTGCACCAGGCTGGGGACTCAGGGGTCGGCGCGTGCGGAGAAAGGGGCTTCTCAGACTAGAGGCGCCCGCGAGGCGCCAGGCATTGGGTCCCTCGAGCGGCAGGGACCCAGCCCGGCGCCTGCGCACAAGCCGGAGTCCCGCACTCACCGCCGAGCCCAGCTATCCGCTGTGCTCTCTCTGGCCGCTAGGCATTCGGACTGCGGGATCCCGGGAGGCTGCTCCAGATTGTCTGGCCCCTGCTTCCTGGCCCCGCTACGTCTCCTCACCCCCGACCCCCGGCTACAATTGGTTGAACTCCAGGAGAGGCGGGCCGAGGATGCTGACTGACAGCCGCGGGCGCCGTGCGCGGAACGCGGAGCCTCGAGGCGAAGCAAGCGTAGTGGGCGCTGCTCGCGCAAGGGGCCGCTTTTCTTCTGCGCGCCGGGGGGGGGGAATCATACAGCTGTAGCCCTGTGGCCTGAGCTCTAGCCCCTGTTGGGACGGGCTTCTCTCGCCTTCGAACCTTAGGGTTTCCCAGGGACAGTTTCAAGGCTTTTTTTTCTTGTTAGCCAAAGTGACCATACTGGAGAAGCCCGTACTTGGGCCGTCTTCCCTGTCAGGGCGGAATATATTGTTTCTTCTGCCAGAAAGAAACACTATTGGCCACGCACGAGCTCTGGAACGGCAGGTCTTTCAATCTTTCCCTGCTTGGAATTAGTCGGCTTACTCTATTTGCTCTTAAAACAGCCTCGTTCCTTTTACTCTCCCTGTACATAACATAGGTCTTCTGACAAAAATGCCTGCATACGTTCTCCCATCCCCCAAATCTGGGTTATCCTATTTTGGACGTTCTTCTAAGCGGTAGAACGTCTGTAGCTATGTGAAATTCAGAAACTGAGAGGAGACCTTGAAGACAGATAAAGGACCTGCTCAGGAAGCCGGAAGGGATTGCGGGATGCTCCGTGCTCTTCAGTGCACAGTGGGGTTAATGGAATTTATCCCAACAAAACACAGACTCTAAAAATAGGCCTGCCCCAGACTATTATCTCAAGGTTGAAGAAGAATTAATACAAATTGCAACTAACATTAATTATTTTTACATTTACTGACCACAATGGACTCTACGTGCTTATTCAGATGTTTTCGTGGGAGAACTACATGCATGGGTGACCAGACGGATGGAAGAAAAGCAGTTTCTACATAACTGCCCACTCTTCTGGAGTAACCCTTTCATTCTCCTTCCTGGAGAAAGTCAGCCTTCCAAGGCCTGTTCATAAAAGGTGACTTCCGTTGCCTCTGCTAGAAGAAGATCCCCATATGATAAATTTGTGCTCTCAGTCCTATCTCCCAGACACCCCATCACCTATCTTTTACAGTTTGGCTGCCTGGTAAGCTGCAAATACTCAAACAGGAAGTGCTGACTTCTAAGTCAGGGTTTTGGATCACATTAGTGATCCCTGATAAACCCTTTCTCCCACAGGCACTCATAATCCTGAAGCATTTGAGTCATCTTACCTATATACAGTCATTTTGGCCACAAAAAGGAGTGACCAGGACCAGGGAGGCCTGCCTATCACTACTAGATAACTGCATATCACTTCAAATAACTCTTCAAAGTCACCACACTCCCAATGAAAAATACTATCATACAAAAAATATGCAATTAGGATCTTAGCCTGACTGGGGCTGACACACAGCTCTACCTCATACTAGCAGTGCCAGTCTAGGCAAATGATTTAACTTCTCTGGGCTCAATTCCTCAACTGTAAGTTAGGGGCAACAGTAACTGCACTTAAGAATAAATGAAATAACAACTGAAAGACCCCTAGCACAGTGTCCCAAATCTCTTCGATTAAATTCCTCACCTCAGGTTATGACATGGCATAAGGAATTTCTGAACACTACATTTATGATAATCAAACTTTGAAAGCTGGATAAAAATGAGGACATAAGGTTTGTATGTCATGATACAAAACCAAAGGAACTGTTCCTTTCTGACCTATCTACAAAAAAGTTTTGATGCTAATGTTACTCAATTTTATTTCTCTAACAACGCATGGGTCTGAGAGTTAGATAAGCAAAAAAGCAAATTAAGCCAGTTTCTGATGTAGTTAATTTGGTGGGTATTTACCAGCAACCTGGCTCCATCTCTGATGGCAGAAGCTTGGGGCACAAGCACTCCTGAGACCATGTCAGTTCCTGATTCACTTACTTTGCTTCTGAACTCTCTGAACAAGTGACTAAAATTTGGGCCCCCAAACCCCTTAAACCATTGTTCAAAATAAGTGACTACTGTCAGGTTAGGTACCAACCACTCTATTCCCAAAACACCATAAACCACGAGAAGATGTTGCCAAGGATAGGAGACTAGAAGGAAGAGGAATTTGGTGCCCGTATGAGTCTGTTCAGGCTGCTATAATAAAAATGCCATAAACTGGGGGGGGGGGGGGGCTTAAACAACAGAAATTTATTTTCTCACAGTTCTGAAAGTTAGAAGTCCCAGAGCAAGGTGTGAGCTGATTCAGTTCCTCGTGAGAGCTTTCTTATTGCCTTGGAGATATATACCTTTTGTTTCCTTCTTTTTCTTTTTTTTTTCTTTTTTTTTAAGGAACTCTGTGTGTGTGTGTGTGCACGCACATGCTGCGCACGCACATGTCAACACAGGTAGAGGGGCTAGAACTCAAGTACCTGGAGGCCTCAGGAGTTCTGCTGGGCAGTGCAAAGAAGCTTCTTTTCCTGCTACTTCATATCCTGTCTTTGAATGCTTCCAGCTCTCCATGCCGGTCCTCCTTCTCAGGGGGCCACAACTCCCCCTTGTGCTGTATGACATAGTCCTCAAACCACCTGGTCTGATTGGCAATCCAGAACATAGCCAGCCACAGGGAAGTTTAGGTAGCATGTCCTCTGAAACACCTCCAGCTTCACTCCCATCTTGTTTCTCTATGCCCCCCTCCTTTTATAAGGATATCAGTCTCATTGGATTAGTGCCCTACCCTTTTGACCTCATTTAACCTTAATTGCCTCTTGCTGAGAAAGGCAGTTTCATGCAAGCAGCCCTTCATACATACCGCCTTAGCCTAGAACACACCTAACCAAGAGACGAAAGAGTACTCACAGCTTGTGCTGGGCTTTTTGCCTTGTGGGGGACTTTCTTTGTGTGTTCCTTTATTTTGCTTAAGACACCTGAGAGTTCCTTCACTGCTTCCATCATTTGAGGACACACTAAGAAAATGGCCATCTGTGAATCAGAAAATTACCCTTACCAGACACCAAACCTACTGGTACCTTGATCTTGGACTTCTCAGTCCCAGAACTGTGAGAAATAAATTTATGCTGTTTATAAGCCACTCCGTCCCTGGAATTGTTATAGCAGCCCAAATGGAACTATCCACTCAAAAGTTTTCCAAAATCACTTAGGTCATCTCCCTTTTTCTTACGCCTCTTCAGTGGATTTATGTCATACACCTGTAATACTTAGATTCAGTTGTCGTAATCCACACTCCATCCTAAAATTGCCCCGACATCCTACTTGAAATTTTGGGGGTAAAATTTTCATATAATAAAGCTTCAGTCTTTGTGCACTATTCTAATAGTTTTAAAGCTCAGTATGTGATGATAAAGAGGTCAATTCATCAAAAATATCTAACAGTTGTAAATAATTAGATACAAATATTAGATATTATTAGATACATTTAGATAAATATTAGATATTATCTAGATATTAGATATTATTAGATATATTTAGATAAATATTAGATATTATCTAGATATTATTAGATATTAGATATTAGATTATTAGATATTAGATATTATTTAGATAAATATCGGATATACTATATAATTAGATATATTAGATATTATTTAGATATCAGATATTAGATGTTTTAGATATTAGATATTATTTAGATAAATATCAGATATACTATATAATTAGATATATTAGATATTATTTAGATAAATATCAGATATACTATATAAATATATAAAGCAAATACTACCAGAACTAAAAAGAGAAATAGAGCAATAATATTTGGAGACTTTAATATTCCATTCTCAACGATTGATCAAGTATCCAGACAGAGAATCAATAAGGGAACAGCAGATTTGAACAACGCTACAGACCAAATGGATCTAACAGACACATACAGAACATTCCATCCAACAGCAGCAGAACACATTCTTCTCAAGGGCACCTGGAACATTTTCTAGGATAGATCATATTAGGTCACAAAACAAGTCTCAACAAATTAAAGAAGGTAGAAATTATATCAATTATCTTTTCCAACCACAATAAAATGAAATTAGAAAACAGTAATGAGGGGAAACTGGAAAATTCACAAATACATGGAAATTAAACACATTTCTGAACATCCAATGAATAAGAAATTAAAGGGATATAAAAAATATTTTGAGACAAATGAAAATAAAGAAAAAATACCAAAACTTTTGGGATGCAGCAAACAGTTCTCAGAATTCTGTCAACTATTTTCAAATTTTAAAAATTCAACGTAAGGGCAGCTGGGTGGTTCAGTCAATTGAGCATCTGCCTTTGGCTGGGGTCGTGATCCCAGGGTACTGGGATTGAGCCCTGCGTTGGGCTCCCTGCTCAGTGGGGAGTCTGCTTCTCCCTCTCACTCTGCTCCTCCCCCTCTACCTGTGCTCCCTCACTCTCTCAAATAATAAATAAAATCTTTAAAATTTTTTTTAATTTAGGGGCACCTGGGTGGCTCAGTTTTTAGGCGTCTGCCTTCGGCTCACGTCATGATCCCAGGGTTTTGGGATTGAGCCCCGAGTTGGGCTCCCCACTCTGCAGGAAGCCTGCTTCTCCTCTCCCATTCCCTCTGCTTTTATTCCCTCTCTCGCTGTCTCTTTCTCTGTCAAATAAATAAACAAGATCTTTATCAATTAAATAAATAAAAATTTAATTTAAAAATTTTTTTAAAAAGGAGGATCAGAGCAGAAGGATCTATAAGGAGCTGAATAAAGGAGCAGAAGAGGTATGGCAGGGAGGGAGTAATAACTGATAGATGATCAGACTTGTGAAACTATTTGGGGAAATCTTCTTAAATGTGTAGAGCAGATCTAGTGGAGCACCTGGAAAAAATAAGAGTGGGGATATAGCCGGTCTTGGAACTAAAAAAAATAAGGCAGTATTTAATTCCAAGAATTTTTTTTTAAATACAAGAAAAGATGAGGCAACTGGGTGGTTCAATTTGTTGAGTGTCTGACTCTTGATTTTGGCTCAGGTCATGACTCCAGGGTCCCGGAATCGAGGGCTCCCTGCTCTGCAGGAAGCCTGCTTCTCCCTCTCCCACTCCTCCTGCTTGTGTTCCCTCTCTTGCTGTCTCTCTCTCTCTCTCTCTCTGTTAAATGAATAAATAAAATCATTTTTAAAAAAGAAAGTAAAATATTTAAGAATAATTTAACCAAGGAGGTAAAAGAACTTTACATCGAAAACTAAGTCATTGATGAAAGAAATTGAAGACACAAATGGAAAGGAATCTTGTGTTCGTGGATTGGAAGAATTAATATTTAAAAGCTCTGTACTACCCAGAGCCATCTATAAATTCAATGCAATCCCTATCAAGATCCTGATGGCATTTTTTTTACAGAAATAGAAAAAACATTTCTAAGATTCATATAGAACCACAGTAGACCCAAATAACCAAAGCTGAAAAATAACAACAAAGTGGGAGGCATATTTCCTGATTTCAAAACTATATTATAAAGCTACAGTAACCAAAACAGTATGATACTGGCATAAAAACAAACACATAGACCAAGAGAACAGAGTCAAGAGTTCAGAAATAAACCCATGCATATATAGTCAACTAATATTTGACAAGAGAGCAAAGAATACCCAATAGGGAAAGGAAATTATCTTCAATAAATGGTACTAGGAAAACTTAATATTCATGTGCTGAAGGATGAAACTGGATCTCCAAATTATACCACTCACAAAAATTAACTTGAAATGGATTAGACTCAGACATAAGACCTGATCCATAAAATTTGAAAGTTGCTAAGAGAGTAGATTTTAAAAGTTCTGAACACATACAATTATAAAACTAGATAAGGTGATGGATATGTTAAATAATGTTATTGTGGCAAACATTTTATAATATATACATATATCAAAGAATCATACTATATACCTTAAACTTACATAGTATGTCAATAAAGCTAAAAAAATTTTTTAAATTTGAAAAAAAATTGCAGCAAATATATATAATGGAATACCACTAGGCAAGAAAAAGGAATGAAATATCAGATGAATCCCAAATAATTATGCTGAGTAAAAGAAACCATACAAAATAAGAGGGGTTAATGAAGGAAATGAAGAATCTTTCAAGGGTGGTGAATATGTTCATTATCTTGATTACTGTGATTGTTTTATGGGCATGTATATGAGTCAAAATTTATCAAATTGTCCACTTTATTTTTTTAAGTAGGCTTCATGCCCAATGTGGGGCTTGAACTCACAACCCTGAGGTCAAGAGTCACATACTCTGTCAGCCTGACACCCCTCAAATTGTCCACTTTAAATACATGAAGTTAACTGTATGCCATTTATATCTCAATAAATATTTTTTTAAAGATTTTATTTATTTATTTGTTTGTTTGACAGGCAAAGATCACAAGTAGGCAGAGAGGCAGGCAAAGAGAGAGGAGGAAGCAGGCTTCCCGCCAAGCAGAGAGCCTGATGCGGGGCTCGATCCCAGGACCTGGGATCATGACCTGAGCTGAAGGCAGAGGCTTTAACCCACTGAGCCACCCAGGCGCCCCTCAATAAATATTTTTTAAGGTATATAAATAATTTGGGATTCCCTGCCCTAATCAATATTTTGATTAACCAGCTGTAGTAGTCTGCTCAGGCTGCCATAACAAAATACCATTGATTAAGCGCTTAAACAATACAAATTTATTTTCTCCTATCTTTAGGGACTGGAAGTCCAAGATCTGGATCTCAGCAGGTTTGTTGAGCTCTCTCTTCCTGGCTTGCAGATGGCTGCCTTCTCACTCTGTCCTCAAGTGGCATTTCCTCTAGGCATGCACAAAGAATATCTTGTATCTCTTCCTCTTCTTACTAGGGTATACCAGTCCTATCGGATTAAGACCCCTTCTTTTTGATCTTTCTTAACCCTAATTACCTCCTTGAAGTACTTATCTCCAAACACAGTCACATTGGGAGGGCTTCAACTTATAAATTTTAGCGGGGGATACAATTTTGTCCATAACACCAACAAACGATAGGTCCCAAATGGGTCAAATGAGAAGGCTTGTGCTCTATTTACTCATTCACTCCATAACTTTCAGCACCCAGTTTCAACAGTACCTGACAGTGTCATCTGTGCTCTGTGAGGGATATCTGCTCTTCTCTACCCATCACCTGGAAGTAATAAAAACTATACCAGATAAAACTACTAAATTACCATTTCTTTCATTTCATATCTATTATCATAAGGCTAGGACTATTCTATTGTAAATTTATATAATAATACTCTGGAACTTCCTTAGAATTCTACCTGCAATTTGTTCTGAATTTTAATTACCCACTAATTGCAAACACAATGAGTAACAACCATTACTACTAACCACTAAAATAAACAGACTAATCCCTCAAACAAACGTACAAACTTTTTATTTAGAATTAGACTCAAATACAAATTAAATACAAATTAAATATAATACAAAATATTTAGCCTTCATAAAACAGACCATAACCACTTTAAATCATCTATTTCTAAAACAAAATTAAAGAGAAATCTAAAAATAGCCCAAAAATAAATTTACTTTTAAACTCTTTTTGTTAATATTAAAATTATTAAAAATACTCAAAGAAATTGAATTAGAAAATGAACAAAGCCACTACACAGAGATTCCTGCTATCTACTAAAATCAATTTAGGAATTAAAATGTAATATGATTTCCACTCATTCACAAATAAAAAGCACCTCATTTTAAAAAGACAATTATCTGTTTCACTCTAAGGTTATGAGAACTGTTTTGTTTATTTGACTTTTAATTTTAATATGGCACTGTAGGTTTGATCAGTGTAAGCAATATCACTAAAAATATTTAAGTGTTCCTTACAGACCCTTTCTGTTTTACTTTATGAATAAAGGGATCATATATTTAAAAATTAAAACATTACAATATAATAAATGTCATTAATAAGATACATGGCAAAATAAAAATATACATTAAAAATGAAGTCTTTTGTTTTATGAATGGGAAACTGATCAGACTCATATGCCATCTTCACTCTATATGCCATCTTCACTCCAGAAAAAAAAAATTTTATAGTTTATATTGTTATAAATCCAATTCTAAGAATCTGCACCAAAAAAAGTAACAAGGAGATAATATAATATCTTAAGCTCATGTTATATCTGAAAATACTTACAAAAAGTGGAACTAGACTTGCATTAAGTAGATAACAGGAAAATACTATTACAGAGTTTACATATCTAAAATAACCCAAAACAAAAATAAAAGTCCACACTCAAGAATGGCACCCACATTATTCAAGAATAAAGTTATCTGCATATATGCAAACCAGTGTGTGGCTAAATATTTTCCTAAAACATGCATATTATGAGGCCTTTCATAATTAAGCTTATAGAACCAAACTATATTGTGTTTATATCAACCGTGATGATTGGACATTTCTGTACAACAAGAGAGTTAAAACTCTGTCATCTGTTGTTCTGTAAAACTGAAGAAGAAATATAAACAAACTCAGGATTTCACTAGAAAAAACTAGCAACCTGTTGTACTTCTTGTTATGAAATAAATGGATTCCAGATGCAATTATTCTTTTAAATTTTTAATCTCTAGAAGTCCTCTTTAAAAAACCATTTTAACGGGCGCCTAGGTGGCTCAGTTGGTTAAGCGACTGCTTTCGGCTCAGGTCGTGATCCTGGAGTCCCAGGATAGACAGAGTCCTACATCAGGCTCCCTGCTGAGCAGGGAGCCTGCTTCTCCTGCTGACCTCTCCCCTCTCATGCTCTCTCTCTCTCATTATCACTCTGTCTCTCAAATAAATAAATAAATCTTCAAAAAATGATTTTAATGATATCACATTTCTTAGAGAAAATTTACTCAGACTTCTGAACAACTTAGTCATTATCTACAAGCAATTTTCATTCAAGTGGTAGGATTCTAGCTCTGTCAGTTTTTTTATCTTTCAAAGAGAATGAAAAATACGCAAAGATTTTCCTACTGACTCACTAAATGTATAATTAATAGTGTGTAATAATAAATTTTGGAATACAATAACTTTTTAAGTTTTCACAGTTTATTACTACTAACTAGCTATAACATCAGCAAGTCAGTTAATTCTCTTTACCTTTTCATTCTTAAAACAAAGAGATTAGAATAGATAATTGCTAAGATTCCTTCCAATTTCACATGGTAAGATGCTGTGCTTCTGGAGGAATATCTCATTGATATATTGATTTTTCTATATATCAAGAAACCTGATACAAACTAAAATAACACAGCTAAACTAATCCTCTCCTATAAGAAAAAACACAAAGACCATGTTAAAGCTCAACTTCCCAAACTTTACTAGATTCATTCTTTCTTTAGCCAGACCAATGAATAGCCCATGACATAACACCAAATATCTTACTTAATTACATAAGTTATTTTAAATTATACTATAAACTTATTAAAATATATTGTCTATGCCACAATCTTCCTGCATTCTAATTTACATTATTTTCATTCTATCTACATTCAAAATAATCCATACAGTTCAGTAGGGAGCAACTGAATATTCTTCCACTTCAAAACACTAGTAAAGTTAAATCTAATGAAGAGCAGAATATTAACCATTACCATAAACTGTCAATTTTAAAATAAAAGCATACTAATATTATTTATTGGCTAGAAAAACAAAGTTAAAAAAGGAAATCTTGCTGACAAACACTAATATTCAAATGAATTTAGTTGTATTGTGCCGTTTCTTAGAAAAAGAGGGAGAAGATATCAGCAGAAACCTACTTAGGTAATACTGAACCACAAAATTTTAGGGACTTTTATGAGAAATTAATGTACCATAAATCAGCACTTTGGTATTTAGTGCAGTGCAAGTTGTTTTTTCTAACTATGGGCAGCAAATGAGGCACTTAACTGTAAAATAGAAAAATAGGGTATATTTAAGAAGAAATTCAAAATCATTCATAAAAGATAATTAGCATTATTCAAAAAGTAAAAAATTCTATTTTTATTTAATGTGCATTCAACGTTACACATGCTTCAGTACGGAAAATTTTGAATGTAAGACGGCTGTTTCATTTATAAGAGACAGAAAATATTTCCTTTTCAAGAGACTCTGAATTTCTGAGAATGAAATCTAAGTCTTCTCAACCTGAGTGCTACATATTTACAAACCAAAAAAAATACATCTTACCCATACCGGAGAAATGTTTCTAGCTATCAAGAAAGTATAACATGTGATCCCCAACTTTATTCTTAAAGGATTGTAAGTTTTTATTTTATATAACTTTGAAGAAAGGGATCTAGTGACTGTAACAGAAAAATGAATAGATATTTAGCACCTAAATTTAGAACACTTAAGTATTGCCATAGTTTTAAATAGTTGTATGTCCAAAGATTAGGGGAAATCAGATATATGTTGTTCAATGATACTACAACATTCTCAAAGATTAATTTATTAAGCTTCCTTGATTTGCAAATGCATCCATCAATAACATTCAACACAATATTATCATTTCTTCCTGAAGTTACAGATATATATTCTTAACAAGAAATAAGTGAGGTTTATTTTTTTTTTAACCACCACTAAATTGCCTTCCAAATGTGGCACTTTTCCAGAGATTTGGATAGAAAACAGTCCTTTTAAAAAGTCATATTCTACCATTAATATTATTTTAAATGTTCTTCATTGTGAAGCAGAGGTCAAAATATGAAGTAAATGGCCATGGACCTTCTGCTGAAATACATAAGCAAATATAATGCAGGGTCAGAGAAGATGAACATACGTTAATTTCTGGCAAGGAAGTTGGCACATCTTATCTGTAGGGTAAAAAAGCACTGAATGAAAAGATAATGTCTGCTGTGACATTATTCCAAGCAAATGGAGCCTAGCATCTGCTTTCTCCACATCTAAGAGATATTCTAGTCATGCCTCTTTAAGTAAGCTTGATTTTAATTCCAAATGGAACACTTTACTTCATATGTTAAAACTGACAGATGGCATTAAAGTTTTCCATGAGATAATTATATTCATTTCCTCTGAAAAATCCTATAATCTTACCTTTTCTCCCTATTTGCTCATAAGAAGGGTTTTCTTGACTCATAAGGGAGGACAAAAGGCTTAAAAATATATGTTCTTATTCCAAGGAGGCTGGAAAAATTTCTATAGTTCACAGTCCTTATATTTGTCATCTACACTCACTTTAACAAGTTGCATTCCTTACTGCATAATTAATTTCCTCACATACAGAAAAATCTAACTTCTCTTATTTATATCTTTAAGGTAAACTGTTCTATTTTCTTGAAAGATATTCTAGTTTATTTTAGAAAGGAAATGAGTACATTAAAAAACAAGAACACTGTTGATGCAATTCAGTTATTAGGAAATAAAGTGCATATAGCTTTCAACATAAATATTGTTTGACGGATTACAGCTAATAGCTAATAAAATCAAAATGAAGATTCAGCCCAGTCTCTGAAATATAGAAAACATGAGATAAGAATACAAATTCTATATAAATAGTAAGAAAAGTGGGGTGATATTCCCCTTCACAAAAAAAAAAAAAAAAGACAACTGAAATTCTTAAGAAACTTTCTCCTCCCAAGCAACCACACATGCTACACTGTAATACCAACATGCAATACCTGAAATTTAGAATCGCAGTCTGACTGTTGCCCTTGAACTTCAGCATTTAATTTACAATTTTCTGGTGCCTGGCTGATTTCATCTTGCAAAGTAGGAGATAGGCCATGAGTATCATCTACAGAAGCACCATCAGACAAGGCATCTAACTTTTCAGGGGAAGAAGGTATGTCAAGCTTACTATCTCCTGTCCCTTCATCAAAATTTGTCCTCTCATCAGCATCTTCTAGCTGTTGAACTGAAGTTAAATACTGCTCAAGTAGACTATTATCCTGCTCATTGTTTAAGCTTTCCTTATTCCATTCACTGTGTTCATCAATGACATCCCCTGTATCTGACTCTTTGCCATATTTGACTGTGTCAATGGAATTCCCTATTATGGAACTTTCACTGCCTTCTGTGGAACTTTTCTCAAAATCCAGAGAATCCTGCAAACAGTGAACTTGGTCTGTTAGGGAAGAATGAAAACCAGAGTCTGGAAATTCTGGTAAAGATTTCTCTTGAGGAGCCTCATCAGGAGCAATGAACCAATGAGAATTTTGATCAGAAGAGGGCTCCTGACTTTGGGTGAATAATGGATGAATAGAAGGCACTAGATTACTTGATACAGGAGGAACATCAGTATGCCAGGAACTTAGACGCTGATCCACCATCTGTTGCCAAGCTTGTAGAGACCTTACCTGTAAACCAAAGGATATAATTTTATTATAAAACAAAAATCATGCCTGTTTTACAATGTTCTTTGAGCTTTTTCCCCCAACACTCATGAAGTTGGTAAATGGCAGATGGCAGAACTGGAGTTAGAAACGGCCTGACTCCCCTTATCCCTTCCACAGCAATCCCAGCCTAAACCAGGCTGGTGCAAGTGGTACATGTTCTTGGTAACAAAAGGTCCTCACCAGGAGAGTCAGGATGAGCCAAAGCTATTCTCTTGTTACTACTAGAAAAACAAACAGAAGCATAATAGCCGTGACTAAGGGGTCAATAATGTACTCAATAGAAACTGAAGTCTATTGAATAAGACACATTAGAGCCCAGGATAAGTAGATTCTCTAATGTAGATATCCATTTAGGATAGAATTTTTTTTTTTAAGATTTTATTTATTTATTTGACAGACAGAGATCACAAGTAGGCAGAGAGGCAGGCAGAGAGAGAGAGGAAGGGAAGCAGGCTCCCTGCCGAGCAGAGAGCCCGACGCGGGGCTAGATCCCAGGACCCTGGGATCATGACCCGAGCTGAAGGCAGCAGCTTTAACCCACTGAGCCACCCAGGCGCCCCTAGGATAGAATTTTTAAATATTATCTAACGATATAGCATATACAACTCTAAGATATCCAAAAGTACCCTGAGTTCTTGATAATATAACCTTTACATTTTTAACGTACAATCAAAAATATCAAAATTTTACAATTAAATCTGCAAGAAGAAAGCAATATATAGAATCTTTTAGTTTCTCTTTGACCACCCTCCCAGAAAATCACTGACAGCAGTTTGATAAATGTCCTTCTAGACCTTTTACTATGTTTTCAAATATACACAGTTTTTAATATCAAGCAGAACTTTAAGTTCTGCAACTTGCTGTTTTTCACTGAACAATGTTATTCTGGAGAACTTTTTACATCAGTCCATACTGCTACCTTATTCTTTTTAATTGTTCCATAATGTTCCATGGTATTTTTATTCTATAATTTAACTACTCCCCTAATATTAGTAATTATAAAACCTTAGAAATCAATAACTATTTCTTAATCTTATGGATAAAATCCTATTATAGCAAGTTCTTTTATAAAAGTATTTCTAAGAAATTATCAAAGAAATGTTTGATGAGATAAAATAAAAGTAAAACTGATTGAACTGTCCCTGAAGTATGCTATTAGAGGATTTAAACTCTCAAGAAGTCATGTGCACATTTTAGGACATGCATATCAGAGCCATCATATACTATCTTAGTCACTTTTCATTCAAATATTCCCAAGAGGTAAAACAAGATAGATGGCTAGAGAAAACTTTTAATTGAGTATTTTCTACCTCTTGGTAAGTTATAACATCCCTCAATTTAGTCACTTTCCTTCATCTTTACAGTTCTTTATCTTTCTGGTCAAAATTATGACAATATTTTTCTTTAAATAAAATGTAACAAAATTCACTGTCCTAATTCAGAGTTAGTGGCAAAGAACACATATTACATCCTTAACCTTGAGAAACTTCTCAATATGCCTGACTACTCTATGATTATCTCAAAAAATCTAGAATTTTTCTTGGTTCACACATTAGGTAAATCAGCAGGAATGGGTTTACCTGGTTCCAAAGGAATCTGACAGCCTCTTCTTGTACAAATTTTTTAATACGTTCTTCATCTCTTTCTTTTCTTAATCTACAATAATTCAAAATCCATTATTGACACAAGGAAGGTGCTTTGACTTGCGCCTATTGTTACAACTAATAGACACATGTACTGTATTAATAATCTAATAACTGCCCTTTCCACTTTTAGAATATCTAAGCTCAAACTTTAAACTATGACTCAATGTAGAAGCTAAATGGATGTAACTGAAATTCAGATTATGTTGATTCTACAAGGTATTGCTAATGATGAAAAATAAAATAAAATATTAAATGGCTCTTTATCGGGCCTTTATTTCCCAGCCAAAAACACCAAAGGCATAAGAGCCACAGAAAAGAGCAGCTGCTCAAAGGCTACAAAACATCAGAGGATTAGGATCACAGCTTGACAAGCCATCTTCTAAGAGACTAATAGGACTAATCCCATCAAACTTCAGTCCCCATTTGCCCAGGTCCCTGACATATTCCTTGCTATCATCAAAGGATCTCCCCATCCATCACTTCCCCTTATTCATTAAATATTCATCTGGGCTCACTGCTGCCCTCTCCATACGTAGGCCTGTCACCAACCCAAGGCTCCCTTAGTTCTCTGTTATCGTCCACAATGTCACCACCATTTTGTTCTACTTCTAACTCAATTCCCAAGTTTCTCCAGACCCCCAAGCTCTTCTCCTATGCCATCTGGGACCTCAGATTTATAACTGGCAAACTCCCTTATTGTCTCAACCTCTATTGTGAAATCTTCTTTGACCAAATCAGACCTACTGCTGATGACACTGTAGCCCTCTCAAGTGGAAGCTATTCTGGGACACCTGGCTAGCTCAGTTGGTAAAGCATGTGACTCTTGATCTCAGGGTAGTGAGTTCAAGCCCCATGTTGAGCATGGAGCCTACTGGGGGGAAAAAAAAAAGTGGAAGCTATTTTTTTCATTCAAACATCAGGGTCAGAAGATTGCTTCTACTGTCAACAACTGTTCTTTTGCCTTCCTCCTTGAAGAACTCCTGCCATCCGGCTAAAGTTCTCCACTCTTTTTCAAGTACTAGCCTCCCAGAATCTGCCTGCAATCACTGAAATCTCAGCACCAGTCTCTTTCCACATCATACCTATCATCATTTCTGGAGATCTCAGTATTCACATGGATGCCCTCTCTAACAGTAATCCACCCTACATCATTCATCCTCAAAGTCTCTCTCTAGACCCAATCATTTTTTTTTATTTAAAATTTTTTCTTTTTTTTAAAGATTTTATTTATTTATTTGAAAGAGAGAGCTCACAAGCAGACAGAGAGGCAGGCAGACAGAGAGAGGAGGGAAGCAGGGATGCTGAGCAGAGAGCCAGATGTGGGGCTCGATCCCAGGACCCTGGGATCATGACCTGAGCCGAAAGCAGAGGATTTAATCCACTGAGCTACCCAGATGCCCTAGACCCAATCATTTTTGACTGCACCATTTTCAAAAATGATTTCAAGCACCCACACAAACCACTAACCCCATCTTCCCAGTTCACTGGCTCTTGCACCGCCCCCCCATGCAACAATCTAGACATCCAACCTTCATCCAGACCTCCAAACTAATGATCCCCGCCTCCTCCTGTGTCTCCTTTTACCTTCTTTAAATTCCAAGATCCACTATTATAATGATTCCCTCCCAAATATCTTCGGCTCCTTTGCCCTTCCCTCTCTCCCCTACCATATTCACATGGGAAAAAACCATTCCTGGCAGAACAAAATTAACCATGCCCAAATCAGAATAGAACACCTGAAAATTGCTAATGAAACTCATACAGCCTGACCTATTGTTTTGCATTTTAAGTTCTTCCTCACAGTAATAATCCTCCATTTTCCTTTTAAGTTCACTTTTAAGATGAATACCTCACACTTCACATCTCTTTTCTTAAATCTTCTACACCCTCAACCTTCTTATTTTCAAATGCTGACCATGTCTTCTGTATCACTGAAAAAAGAGAAGCATTCATAAAACAGAACTTCTGCTTCCCATTACTGGGTATTTACCCCAAAGATACAGATGTAGTGAAAAGAAGGGCCATCTGTACCCCAATGTTCATAGCAGCAATGGCCACGGTCGCCAAACTGTGGAAAGAACAAAGATGCCCTTCAACGGACAAATGGATAAGGAAGACGTGGTCCATATACACTATGGAGTATTATGCCTCCATCAAAAAGGATGAATACCCAACTTTTGTATCAACATGGACAGGACTGGAAGAGATTATGCTGAGTGAAATAAGTCAAGCAGAGAGAGTCAATTATCATATGGTTTCACTTATTTGTGGAGCATAAGAAATAACATTGAGGACATGGGGAGATGGAGAGGAGAAGGGAGTTGAGGGAAATTGGAGGGGGAGATGAACCATGAGAGACTATGGACTCTGAAAAAACAACCTGAAGGTTAAGAAGGGGTGGAGGGTGGGAGGTTGGGTGAACCTGGTGGTGGGTATTATGGAGGGCACATATTGCATGGAGCACTGGGTGTGGTGCACAATGAATTCTGTTACACTGAAAAGAAATTAAATTTTTAAAAAGCGCTATCTTAAAAAAAAAGAACTTCTGCTTCCCTCCCACCCCATCAAACCTACCATCTTACCTGCTTCTGCTCCTGCTCCTACCTCAGGCCACTCCCTCTCCTTGTGCACTGGATCCCTTCTTTCACCTTCTCAAGAACTTCAACCTTACATTTCTCCTTTCTTTCCACTGCACTATCAGATTTTCCCTCTTTTTTGAATCATTCTATCAACACATAAACATGCTATATATCTCCCATCTTTAAAGAAAAATTTTCCTTAACTCCAGATTCTATTCCAGCAACATACCTCAAATGGGATCCCCCATAAAGGAACTGGCTACACTCACTCTTTACCTCTCATTCACAATTCAACCCATTCCAAACTGCCTGATTCCACTACATACTGAAGCCGCTCTTAGGAAATTCACTAGGCAAGAAAGGATTAACTCAGCAGACTTGGGGTGTTCTAACCCCACACATTCCAAAGAAAGGACTGGTGGGGAGATAATGTCCAAGTCCTTGGAATATCCTGCTTGATAAGAGTATCTGTATAAACGTGGGGTTTGGGTCCAAACCAGATAGTTAGGCTAACAGTGTGCTTTCAGGTGAATGAATACCTGTTTTGTTCACCTACAGTCCTGATAGAGACATGGTATCAGTCTGACCTTGGGTAGGAGCTAAGGTGTAAGTAGTTAAGATTAGTCACACAGGCACTCAATGCCTACAAGACTGACACCCAATAAAAACCCTGTAGTCAGGGCTTCAATGAGTTTCCCTGGTTGGCAATATTTCGTATGTGTTGTCACACATCAATGCCAAGAGACTCAGTCCTATCTATACAACTCCACTAGAAGAAGACAAGAAGCTTATACCTGCTCTCCTAGACTCTGTCCTATGCACCTTTTTTCTTTGCTGACTTTAATCTGTATCCTTTCATTTGAACACACCATAGTCATTAACAGAATGGCTTCCCCGAGTTTTGTGAGTCCATTTAGCAAATCATCAAACCTGAGAATAGTCCCAGGGTCCCCCAGTACAGTCACCAATAACCTCCAGCTTCTAAATTAAACATATAATCCTCTGTTCTCCCTATGGCACCTCTCTTCTCTCCTAAAACATTTCCCTATCAAAGTGTGACACACACTCTGTCTTCCTATAACACTGGCTGCCCCTTCCCAGTCTCTTTTACTGCTTCCTCCCCTTCCACTTGATAATATTAATCAATATTGCTTGTTGCAAAACTAATACTCAAAATAAATATATGAACTCCTAATTTTCCTGGTTGGCAGTCAGTAATGTCAGTCACAGAAGTGAGGAATAATTCCTACCATTGTCCCAAACTTTTAGTCCCCTTTAAGTCCCCACTCCTTTCTTTAATTCTGTATCATCTACTGGGTTCCATGTAGACTTTCTCATCTTCTCATTCCTATGCTTATTCCATTTTTCCTCATCTTCTGTACCTTTCTATGTTTAGGTTTATAAATACCTATAAGACAAACCATTGTTCAACATTTATTGCTGCACTGCATCAATGTACCAACAGCCATGCTAGCAATGGAGATACATACGGCACTTCCTGTCCTCAAGATGCTTTCAGTCTGTTATAGGAGACAAGGAAACCAAGAGTGGCAACAGGGTATGAAGTGTCCTGACCACAACAGCAATGGCTCAGTGTTCTGAATCAACTCTAAGACTCTGACACTCCCAAATCAACACTATAGCACCTAAAGAAGAACTTTTGACTTACCTCCTTATTTCATCAGTTAAGCAAACAATGTGTTCCTGCATTCTGCGCAGCCGAATTTCATGACGCACATCTTTAGCTTGGGGGTTGTAGTTCCTGGCATAAAAGCCCCGCCAATAGGCCTGAAGTTTCGTGGCTGCTTCATTTAATTTCTGAAGGGCAACTTTATCTTGTCCCAAAGCAACAGACGTCTGGGTTAAAACCCCACAGGGAAGTTTCTCTGAAGCTACAGTTTCTCCACTGCCTGGCTGTGTATGGAAGACACTGTGTCCAACTGACTCAGGAAAAGATGTAAGACCACGGGCGTCATCCTTCAAGACAGCACTAATTACTGTTGGCTCCAGACAAGATAAGAGCGCATCTTTCTCATTTACCTCTGCAGTGATGACACTTTCCTTCATTTGAACAGAATTCTCATTTGTAGTCCAAAACGCCTTTTCCTCTTCCTTATTAAAGTCCTGGTTTTCCAGCCCTTTCACAGATTCATCTGCAATACCATCATCTTCTAGGCCCAAGTTAATGCCTTGTAGCCTCAGCTCAACTGTAGGTGATACTGGAGAAAGTCCTGAAGCAACTGGCATAAAAGTGGACTCTGAAGAGAGAAGACTACAGTTTAACTTGTCCTCATCTGTCTGTATGTCTTCCAAGTGCAGGTCATTTCGAGAATATCTTGTAGTGTGTACAGAGACTGGAAAGTTATTCTTAACAGCATATAATTGATCATCGTTACTGTTAATCCCAACCCAAGAATTGACTTGGATGACAGGTTCTAGAAGAATCAACAAAGTATCATTGAAACCACTAAATATTTAAAAAGATTTTTAGTTGTATCTTTGTAATGAAATCTAACCCCTGAAATATAGTACAATATGATAAAATGCTTTGGTGATTTCCTCCAATATGCCTAAAACATCAAACAAAAGACTTTTGTTTTTAATTATATCAATTCTTTTTTTTTTCTTTTTAAAAGATCTTTACTTATTTATTTGACAGAGAGAGCGAGATCACAAGTAGGCAGAGAGGCAGGCAGAGAGAGGGGGGAAGCAGGCTCCCTTCTGAGCAGAGGGCCCGATGCGGGGCTCGATCACAGGACCCTAAGACCAAGACCTGAGCCAAAGGCAGAGGCTTAACCCACTGAGCCACCCAGGCACCCCCAAACCAAAGACTTTTAAGAAAATGAATTCTTGCAATAATCATTAGAATATCAAAGTATCAAGTCAATACAAAAGGCAGCAACTCTCTGAATATTTTTTAAACATTAGAAATAAAGCACAGTGAAGGAAACAATCAACAAAATGGAAAGGCATAGGAAAAGATATTCGCAAATGACATATCTAATAAAGGGTTAGTATCCAAAACATTTAAAGAATTGATATAACTCAACACCCAAAAAACAAATAAGCCGATCAAAAATCAGAAGACATGAACAGACATTTCTCCAAAGAAGACAACACAGATGGCCAACAGACGCATGGAAAGATGCTCAACATCACCCACCATTAGGGAAATGCAAATCCAAACTACAGTGAGATATCACCTCACACCTGTCAGAATGGCTAAAATCAGAAACACAAGAAACAACAACTGAAGGCAAGGATGCGGCGAAAAAGGAACCATTGTGCACCGTTGGCAGGGATGCAAACTGGTGCAGCCACTGTGGAAAATATGATGGAGGTTTCTCAATAAGTTAAAAACAGAACTACCCTATGATCCAGTAATCACACTACTAGATATTTACCCAAAAAACACAAAAACACTAATTCAAAAGGATACATGCACCCCTCTGTTTACTTCAGCATTATTTACAATTGCCAAATTATGGAAGCAGCCCAAGTGTCCATCAATAGATAAATGTTGATAAAGAAGATGTGAGATATTTATACACACACACACACACACACACACACACAATGGATTAACATTCAACCATCATAAGGAATGAAATTTTGCCATCTGCAACAACACGGATGGATCTAGAGAGTACACTGCTAAGTGAAATAAGTTAGTCAGAGAAAGACAAATACCATATACCACTCATAGGTGGAATTTAATAAAAAAAAAACAGATGAGCAAAGAAAAAAAGAGAAAGAGACAAACCAAGAAACAGACTCAACCACAGAAAACAAACTGACGGTTACCAGAGGAGAGGTAGATGGAGGGTGGGTGAAATAGATGATGGAATTAAGGGCACTTATCAAGATGGACATTGAGCAATGTATGGAATTGTTTAATCATTATATTGTACATCTGAAACTAATATAACTCTGCATATTAACTATATTAGAATTAAAATAAAAAACTTAAAAAAATAATTATTATTGGGTGTTGGGGGCAGGTCAGGCCTACGGAATGCTTTGGCCCTGGGCTGTGGGTGAGCGTGGGTGAGCCCCTGAGGTGTGGCCCTCCGTCCTGAGGCAGTACTGGCGGCTCCTGGATGCTCCTCCCTATTTTCTTTCCTTTACCTCATCTTCCCAGTGTGATTTTCTTGAAAAAGCATTTGACAAAGTACAGCATCCTTTCCTGATCAAAACTCTTCAAGCGTAGGGATAGAGGATACATACCTCAATATCATCAAAGCCATCTATGAAAAACCCACCATGAGTATCATTCTCAATGGAGAAAAACTGAGAGCTTTTCCGCTAAGGTCAGGAACACAGCAGGGATGTCCATTATCACCACTGCTATTCAACATAGTACTAGAAGTCCTAGCCTCAGCAATCAGACAACAAAAAGAAATTAAAGGCATCCAAATTGGCAAAGAAGAAGTCAAACTATCACTCTTTGCAGAGGATATGATACTATATGTGGAAAACCCAAAAGACTCCACTCCAAAACTGCTAGAACTGGTACAGGAATTCAGTAAAGTGTCAGGATATAAAATCAATGCACAGAACCCAGTTGCATTTCTTTACGCCAACAAAAAGAAGAAAAAGAAATTAAGGAGTCAATCCCATTGACAAGTGCACCCAAAACCATAATATACGTAAGAATAAATTTAACCGAAGAGGCAAAGAATCTGTACTCAGAAAACTATAAAGTACTCATGAAAGAAACTGAGGAAGACACAAAGAAATGGAAAAATATTCCATGCTCATGGATTGGAAGAACAAATATTGTGAAAATGTCTAGGCTACCTAAAGCAATCTACACATTTAATGCAATCCCTATCAAAATTCCATTGATTTTTTTTCCAAGAAATGGAACAAATTACCCTAAAATTTGTATGGGACCAGAAAAGACCTCAAATAACTAGAGGAATATTGAAAAAGAAAGCCAAAGTTGGGGGCATCACAATTCCAGACTCCAAGCTCTATTACAAAGGAGTCCTCAAGACACTATGGTACTGGCACAAAAACAGACACATTGGTCAATGGAACAGAATAGAAAGCCCAGGGGGAGGAGTCAAGATGGCGGAGAAATAGCAGGCTGAGACTACTTCAGGTAGCGGGAGATCAGCTAGATAGCTTATCTAAAGATTGCAAACACCTACAAATCCAACGGGAGATCGAAGAGAAGAAGAACAGAAATTCTAGAAACAGAAAATCAACCACTTTCTGAAAGGTAGAACTGGCGGAGAAGTGAATCCAAAGCGACGGGAAGATAGACCGCGGGGGGAGGGGCCGGCTCCCGGCAAGCGGCGGAGCAACGGAGCACAAAATCAGGACTTTTAAAAGTCTGTTCCGCTGAGGGACATCACTCCAGAGGCTTAAACGGGGTGAAGCCCACGCGGGGTCAGCATGGCCTCAGGTCCCGCAGGGTCACAGAAGGATCGGGGGTGGCTGAGTGTCGCAGAGCTTGCAGGTATTAGAACGGGGAATCCGGCTACAGAGACAGAGCCGAGGAGTGATTCTCAGCTTGGGGTTACCTTGAACTCGGTCAGCTCGGAGCGCGGCTGGAGGCCAGGGTGACAGGAGTAATTGGGCGCTGTTCTCTGAGGGCGCACAGAGGAGTGGGGCCCTGGGCTCTCGGCTTCTCCAGGCCGGAGACCGGGAGGCCGCCATCTTCATTCCCGTCCTCCGAACTCTACGAAAAGCACTCAGGGAACAAAAGCTCCCGAAAGCAAACCTGAGCGGATTACTCAGCCCGGCCCCTGGTAAGGGCGGTGCAACTCCGACGGGGGCAAAGACACTTGAGAATCACTACAACAGGCCCCTCCCCCAGAAGATCAACAAGAAACCCAGCCAGGACCAAGTTCACCTACCAAGGAGTGCAGTTTCAATACCAAGGAGAGCAGCGGAATTCCAGAGGAGGAGAAAGCAAAGCACGGAACTCATGGCTTTCTCCCCATGGTTCTTTAGCCTTGCAGTTAATTTAATTTTTTTTTCTTTTTCAATTTTTTCTCTCTTCTAATGCTAAATTTTTTTAACTTTTACCCTTTTCTTTTTTAACGTTTTTTAACTAGTTTATCTAATATATATATTTTTTTCCTTCTTATATTTTTTCATTATTGGTTTTCTTTTTTTATTTGTTCCTTTTTTCTTTTTTTTTTTTTTTTCTTTCTGAACCTCTTTTTATCCCCTTCCCCTCCCCCCCTCACGATTTGGGATCTCTTCTGATTTGGCTAAAGCATATTTTCCTGGGGTTGTTGCCACCCTTTTAGTATTTTACTTGCTCCTTCATATACTCTAATCTGGACAAAATGACAAGGCGGAAAAATACACCACAAGAAAAAGAACAAGAGGCAGTACCAAAGGCTAGGGACCTAATCAATACAGACATTGGTAATATGTCAGATCTAGAGTTCAGAATGACGATTCTCAAGGTTCTAGCTGGGCTCGAAAAAGGCATGGAAGATATTAGAGAAACCCTCTCGGGAGATATAAAAGCCCTTTCTGGAGAAATAAAAGAACTAAAATCTAATCAAGTTGAAATAAAAAAAGCTATTAATGAGGTGCAATCAAAAATGGAGGCTCTCACTGCTAGGATAAATGAGGCAGAAGAAAGAATTAGCGATATAGAAGACCAAATGACAGAGAATAAAGAAGCTGAGCAAAAGAGGGACAAACAGCTACTGGACCACGAGGGCAGAATTCGAGAGATAAGTGACACCATAAGACGAAACAACATTAGAATAATTGGGATTCCAGAAAAAGAAGAAAGAGAGAGGGGAGCAGAAGGTATATTGGAGAGAATTATTGGAGAGAATTTCCCCAATATGGCAAAGGGAACAAGCATCAAAATCCAGGAGGTTCAGAGAATCCCCCTCAAAATCAATAAGAATAGGTCCACACCCCGTCACCTAACAGTAATATTTACAGGTCTTAGTGACAAAGAGAAAATCCTGAAAGCAGCCCGGGAAAAGAAGTCTGTAACATACAATGGTAAAAATAGATTGGCAGCAGACTTATCCACAGAGACCTGGCAGGCCAGAAAGAGCTGGCATGATATATTCAGAGTACTAAACGAGAAAAACATGCAGCCAAGAGTACTATATCCAGCTAGGCTATCATTGAAAATAAAGGAGAGATTAAAAGCTTCCAGGACAAACAAAAACTGAAAGAATTTGCAAACACCAAGCCAGCTCTACAGGAAATATTGAAAGGGGTCCTCTAAGCAAAGAGAGAGCCTAAAAGTAGTAGATCAGAAAGGAACAGAAACAATATACAATAACAGTCACCTTACAGGCAATACAACGACACTAAATTCATATCCCTCAATAGTTACCTTGAATGTTAATGGGCTAAATGCCCCAATCAAAAGACACAGGGTATCAGAATGGATAAAAAAACAAAACCCATCCATATGTTGCCTACAAGAAACTCATTTTAA